GCCGGCGCCCCGGGAGTAATCTAGGGTCCGGGCTGCGCGGAGAGGGGGGAGGCGGTTGTCACTGTCCCCGAGGGGGGCTGGCCCTTTACAGATCTCCAGAAAGTTTCAAGTGCCTGGTTTTTAACTTGGGCTTGAAGACAGAGAAGCTCGCCCGTCCCGGGGGAGGCCCCGCCGCAGGAGGCTGCCCTGGCCGGCAAGAAGGGCCGGGGCGCTCCAGGCGGAGGGACCCGCAGGCCGAGCCGGCCCTGGGAATCGCCCCAAGCCAGGCTCGCTTCCTCTCCGCTATAAAGGGCTGGATTCTGAACTGCGCCTCCGTGGCGCCTGAGAAACCCGCCCGCCTGTCTCTGCGTCCCCCTCTTTTTTCCTGGCTCATGCACCGCACGGCTGGAAAAGGGGCCATCCCGCCCTTTGGCGGTTCCCAGCTTCCCTCTCCCCTAGGACCTGGGGGTGCAGGGAGGGCATGGGGGTACAAGGGCACCGCTGAGGCGGCAGGCACCTTTGCCCCACGCACACCTCCCCCTTCCCTTGAGGTAGGTGCAGTGACTAGGCCCCCCGCCCCCCCGGGGGACAGATCTTGGGCCAGGGACCCAGCGAGCCTCAGCTCAGGCCCACCTGCACTGTCCCAATCAGAGACCTCGTCCCTCGGGCCCCTCCACAAGCCTGCAGCCCGCTCCCGGCAGGTGCTCCCCTCCTTGGGGCCGGATCCACACCAGAGCCACTGCTCTCCGCCAGGTCACATGCACTGGGCCATCTGTCTCTGCCTCCCCAGGCCGTCGCCTGCTCCCCCCACCCCCCTTCAAAGTTCCTTAGCCAAAGCGCGGGAGCTCCACTGGCACTGCCTCTCTGGCCCCACCCCCTCTCCAGGTGCAGCATGGACGGCCCCCTCTCTACAGCTGTCCAGCATCTGGCCACTCTTGAGAGCACCCTGGCCCCCTACCTCTTGCCCCCAGAAGACTAGGTGACTCCCTGTCCCATTATTCACTACATCCGGCCCATTCTTCTACAGGGACCTCAGATCCACCCTTTCCTCTGCCTCGTGTCCACATGTCCCCTGGGTTTCATCGGGCCACCCCTCCCCTTGACATGCACATGCACCCTCATCCCTGCCACCTCACAGCCCATTGTTAGGCTGGGAGGGAACTCTGAAGTCAGAAAATCCAACTTCCACTCTCTCTGCTTGAATACTTCTAGGCACGGGGTGCTCACTACACACACACACACACACACACACACGCACGCATCGGGGAAATGGCTTCAGTCGTTGCAAACGGTCGCCTACCCTGAACCCACACTCATCTCTCTGCCAGGGCCCTTCGGGGTCTCCTCCTGACAGACAGCTCCTCCAGGGGGGCGGACGGACTGGCCTGACATGCCCTGGCTAGTTACTGCACCGCCCTGCTTGTCAGCGGCTGTCTCCTACACGGAGAGGCGGTCACCCCCACTGCCACGTGGGGGTGTGAGGACTAGCTGAGGTCCCCGTGGCGAAGCCTGGCATGGCACACAGCAGCTGCTGAGTGACCGGGGGCTGCTAGACCATTGCCTGTGTTTGAGGATGAGGCCCTGCGGGGTACATCTCCAGGACGAACACCCAAACCTTCTGTCCCCGCAAATGTGGTAGCCCAGTGTCTCCAGGGCCAGGGTCGGCCCTCTTCCATGTCTCCTGTGACCCGGGGTGCCTTCCACAGACTCGGACCGAAGAGCCCAGCTCAAGAGGGCCCAGACCCTGTCTGGCTGGTGGTCCCCTTGCAGGAGAGCGGGCCCACCCTTCACATCATCACTGGCCCCCAGGAGGGAGGAAGCGACCCTTCCCCATCTCCCCACAGACTCCGAGAGCCCCACTCGCCCAGGGCACAGCACGGATGTGCCATAACCACAGGTCAGCTGGGGTCTGGGAAGGACCCTGGGGATCTCAGGGCTCAGGGAGGGGAGGGAAGGTGCGTCCAAAGCCTGGGGGCTTCTCCCCACTCTGGGGTGGACGAGTACATTGGTGCAGGGGGCCACACTCTGTGCGGAGCACTAGCTACACATGCACGCCCCCTCCCAATCCTCACCGCACCTCGCCTGGGCACTGAGGCCCAGAGAGGTGCACTGACCTGCCCGGCGTCACACAGCTGGAAATGGTGGGCTTTGACCCTGGAGCTCACAGACGGGGGCTACTCCACACACCTTCATCCTGGGGTCTCCCAGGCCAGCGGTCCCCAGCACGGACCCATACAGGTCCACGGCCTGTTAGGACCGGGCCGCACAGCAAGAGGCTGAGCACACGAAGCTTCACTGGCCTTACCGCCTGAGCCCTGCCTCCCGCCTGCCCCGGCCACCGTCCCCTCGGTGGAAAAATTGTCTTTCAGGACACTGACCCCCGGTGCCAAAAACGTTGGGGACCACTATCCTAGGCAGATGGGTCAGACATCCTCCTCGCCTGGCATCAGGGTGCTCCGCACCCAGCTCTGCCTCCCTCTCCCCGCCCCCAGGCTGTGCTCGACCCTTACAGCCCCAGCGTGGCTCCCTGCTCACTCGGTGCTCCTCCGTCTCAGCACCTCCTCATGCCTCAGGATGCCAGCGGCCTCCTCCAGGAAGCTCATCCTGGTTACTCCCTGCCCCCAGACTGAACTCCAGGGGAAGGAAGTAGGGGTGGGGCGGCTGATTCATCTCAGAAGCCTCGGCACCCCAGGAGTGGTTCAAACACCCCTGGGCCCCAGGGTGGGCCCAGAAGCAGAAGGGTCCGGCCCTGTGGAAAGACCGCCCTGCCGCCTCCAGGGCCGCCCGGGGGGCGGGGGGGGGTCGGTACGGCACAGCCCGGTCCTCACGTCCCTCTTCCTCCTCCCAACGAACGGGACGGGACGGGACGAGGATGCCAGCTCCTGGAGGCGGGAACTGTGTTTCCTGGACACCTCCAGGGTCAGGACTGGGCCTGCCCCGGCAGATGCTGGAAGCTGATTCGGCGCCTGGGTGATGTCATCCCCTTCCGAAAGCTCCCGCGTCCCGCTAGCCGCCCCTAGAGCAGCCGGAGAGGAGACGAGGCAGCGCCAGAGCTCGGGCCCTCACTCCAGGCCGAGCTCTGCCGGTCCGGCTGCGCCGTGCGGGCAAGTCCTTTCACCCCCGCGAGCCTCGGCTCCTCCCACGTCACGTGGGAGTCACAGCGGTGCTCTTCCCCTGAAGGTCTCACCAGGGCTCAGCGAGGGCTCAGCCAGCGGTGCTCATTATCGCCGCCACCAAGCTGGGCGTCCCCTCGCCGCCTCTCGCCCTCTCCTCCAGCCGCCTCTGACTCCCGCCTGCGGCGGTGCCCCTTCCTGCTCCCCTAGTGGTGGTTTTACTTCCACGAGAGGCCGCCGCCTCCAGACGTCCGCCCTGACCAGCGCTCCGCCCTCTGATCACTCAGGCCCCTGATGTGAGTCGGTTCCATTTGTCCCAAAGTGGGTCCCACCGGTGACGGGGCTTGGTCTCTCCCCCTGGAGGCCCGGTAACCCCCCAGCTGCCGACGCTGCCGCCGGCACTGCTGGGTTCCAGGCAGGCCAGGGCTGAGCTGCAGCGAGGACCCGCGGACTGCAGAGGATCCACGCTTGCTCGGAAACCAGCTCTCGTCCACAGGCCTCGCCTCCGCACAGCCCGGACCCTACCCCAGCAGCCTGAGGACCTGCCTCCCACCCCCGAAGCAGCGGCCCACAAGGCTGTGCAGGCCCGTGGCGGGCTGTACGGTGCGGGTGATGGGGCCAACTTGCTGCCAGGAGCCCCCATCTGGGGGAGAGGCAACCAGCCAACACCAAAGCCCCATTGCCAGGCACCACCCGTGCCAGCAGATTGTGTCTGAATCACAGACGCCGCCCCCTTGCCTGGTGACCACAGCAACTGGAAGCCTCCCCCTCCTCTCCCCGCCCCCAGAACAGCCCTCCACGTTCCTTCTGACTGTTCCTTCCGACTGTTCCTTCTAAACGTGGTCTTCCTGTGCAGAACGCACGCTTGTGTGTCTGGGTGGAGGAGGGTGGTAGGGGGGCCCGGGGGGAGGGGGTGGCACTCCTAACCTCCTGCAGCTGGCAGAGCAGAGCAGAGCTACACAGGGGCTAGGGACACGGGCTCTGGCACTACCCAGGTCTGGGCTCTGGGTTCAAATCTCAGCTCTACCACATCCTAGCAATGTGTCCCCTGGGGGAGCCACTGCCGCTCCGAGCCTCAGTTTCCCCCTCTGTAAAAGGGGATAATGACAGGACAGAGCTCGGAAGGCCTGCAGGAAGTGACACCGAGTCCTCGGAGCCTGAGACGCAGTGACCTGTGGCTGTCACGACTACCGTCTCTCGAATGGGGGCCGGGAGGGGTCCGACCGCTGGCTGGGCCTCTCTGGGGCTGCAGGGTCTCAGCCGCGTCCCAGGGCCTCTCACAAGCTCGGCATCTCCACCAGGGAAACGAGGCCGTGACGTCTTCCCAGCAGCGCTCCCACAAGCAGCGCACCAGGCACAGAAAGCGTGTGGCACGATGCCCAGCGCGTCACGAGCAGGAGCGCTGCGTCCTACGGACCATCATCCCTCGGGTCTGCCTCCTCCCAGCCCCCGGGCCCTGGCCCTCTGGGGCCAGTCAATCAGCCCCAGGCCACAGTCACTGTCCCGAAGTTCCACGGTGCCCCTGACCCATTCCCAGGCCAGAAGAGTGGCCTGGCGGCACAGGGAGAGACAGGGCCAGCTGGGCTGGAAGGGGGAGGCCCTTCCCCCTGCAGAGGAGCCTCAGCGGTCTCGTCCGTGACGTGGGGCCACAGCTCCCGTCACCTGGGGGCTGCAGTGCAGTGCAGGGGCTTTGGGGCACCCCCGTCGCTGCTGCCCCTGCTGTGGCAGTCCTCCCCCTCTGCTGCTCCGGAGCCAGCCGCCCAGTGTCCCCAGCCGCCCGTGAACCCAGACAGCACCGTGGCTGAGCCAGCTGCACCCTCGCCCGGGTCCCATGGATGTCCGTGCCCGGGCAGAAAGGATGATCAGAGCCCTGTCCCCTCCGCTCCCAGCAGCCCCCGGGCTCCCTACCTTGGCCGCTCGCCCCTTGTCCATGCAGCCGGGGTTCTGACAGCGCAGGCCCCTCTCCTCCGCCGCCAGGCTCCTGGCGTCTGCGGGGGAGACAGCAGAAGGTTATCAGGCGGGTGAGGCCCAGGGAAGGGTGCGCCCCAGACAGGGGCACCCAGGCCCCCCCCCCAGGGCCCCAGTAGCCTCCCCACCAGAGGATGGGTGGGGCTGCCTCCTCAAACCTCCCTTCAAAGGAGGTCAGTGTCCCTTTCTCTTTTAAATGGCAACTTATCTGCTCGGGGATCTCTGCTGTGAAGAGCCCTGTTCTGGTTGCTGCTCCCCAGGGAAGCTGTCCAGATTCCACGGGGAGAAGTGGCTTTGGAAATCCGCTCCCTCCCCCTGTCCCACAAGTATGCGGGGGTGGCTCGGGAACCTTGTGGGGCCCCTGACTTCCAGGGGGATCCCTGCAGGGCTGTTGGGGGGCAGGGGGCTCTCAGGGGCCAGGATCCCTTCCTGCCCCTGCCCTCCACAGCACTCTGTCCAGACGCCCTTCAGAGGCCCGGGTGGCCCCCCGGACCCGCTGTCCACCTCTGACCCAGAATCCGGCCCCCTCCAAGCCGCCTCTCTTCCGAGGGGCTGGGGTGCAGCGGCGGAGGGGGCAGCGAGGGGACAGAGAGGCTGCCCGCCCCGGCTAGCCTGCAGGGCCAGGGGGAGGGGTGCTGCTGACGCGGGCCCCAACATGGGGGCAGAGTTTGGATCCCCTGGTTCCGAGACCGGAGTCCACCTACCACCTTGGGCACGCCTTCCCCGGAGGAGGGGGGCACCGAGCTCCCCACCGCGGCGCCCCCTCCCCTCCCGCCCCTTCCCCGAGCTGGCGCGGAGGCGGCGGGGCTGGTGGGCCTGCACGGCAGGGGATGGCCAGGGGCCCGCACTCACCCATGGAGGAGGCGCCGGGCGGCCGGGGACGCGGGCAGGGTGGCGGACGCCGCGGGCCGTCCTGGGGGAGCGCGACGGCGGCGGGGACAGGCGGGGGTGCGCAGAGAGGCCGGAGCACCGCGGCCGCGGGACCCTCAGCGGCGGGAGGCGGGGCGGGGCAGGTGGGCGGCGGGCGGAGCCCGCGCCGTGGCCCCGCCTGCGGGGGGGCCGGCCTCGGAGGCCCGCGCCCCGCCCCGCCCCGCCCTCACCCGTGGTGGGGTGTCTGCTAGGGGCGCCAGCGCTCACCACCCCGACCCCCATCTGGAATGTCGCAGGTGTGACCAAAGGCCGTGGTCCCTCCGTCCTCCGCCCCCCCATAGCCCCCCAGCCACCACAAATGGAGGCCAACACCTCTGTTTTGATGGGTAGGAGACATTTTCTCCATCTCCGGGAAAGTGGGGATACAGGCATGTTAGGGGACTTGGCCGTGTCTCCTGGTCCAAACGGTGCCATCGAAGTGGAAACGCAGGTCAGGACACCTCCCCGCGCCCTCACCTCCCACCTGCCCCCGGGAAAGCGCCCCCGCCCATTCATTTTTTAAATAATTTTATTTATTGATCATTCACTTATTTATTTATTTAGAGAGAGGGGAAAGAGAGGGAGAGAAACATCAGTGTGTGGTTGCCTCTCACACGCCCCCAACTGGGGACCTGGCCTGCAACCCAGGCACGTGCCCTGACTGGGAATGGAACCCCAGGCCTTTCAGTCTGCAGGCCAGCCCTCAGTTCACTGAGCCACACCAGCTAGCGCTATTGATTGATTTGAGAGAGAGTGAGACATCGACTTGTTGTCCCACTTATCAATGCATTCATTGGTTGGTTACTTCCTGTAAGTGCCCTGACTGAGAATCGAACCTGCAGCCTTGGCGAATGGGGACACCGCTCTAACCAACTGAGCTACCCGGCCAGGGTGAGCCCCCCGCCCCCGCCACTTCAGCAACGCTGTCAGGGATGGGGTCAAGGCTCCACAAATGGGAGTGGGCTTGGTGGCTACTGTTGCTTCCCTGACATTTATAAAACTCCACGAAAGTGCAAACACACACAGAGATGTGCAGCTGTCAGGAGGACACAGCTCAGAAACGTGTTTCGCCGACCACCCAGCCAGCGCCCCGATGGAGCAGCAGGGCATCGCGGGCCCCCCTGCAGAAGCCCCCTGCGGGGGGCTGCCCAGCTCCCTGCGAGGGAGCTGCTGTCCAGACGTCTGACTGCACGGGTGCGTTTTGCCTGGTCTTGTACTTTATGTAAATGGCATCACGAGATACTTGTCAGCATTTTAATGGTTACAAAACACTTGCGCTGCAGAAACAGAACCTCCGGGAGACGAGAAGGCCCAGGCTCCCCCCCGCCCCCCGCCGAGGGACAGAGGCTGGGAGACCCCGTTCCACGCCCACACGGCTGCCCGAGCTCTGGGGGGGATGAGACCCAGGCCGGGGAGATCCCGTTTCCAGTGGCGCCTGGGCCCCTCTCCCAGAGGCCCCGCGGCCCCTTCCCCGTGCGCCTCTCAGCCAGAGGAGGGGGCCTGCCCTCTTGCATGCATCCCTTTCATGCGTCGGCCGGGGACTCCGAGGAGACCAGAACCCAGCCTCTGCCCTCAAGGGCTTGTGGCAGAGGGAAGCGTGTCGGCCCCGTGTCTTCTGGAGTCAACCAGCAAACATCCCAGGTCCCCTGAGGGCCTATACCATGTGTCGAGCCCAGAGCTGGGCACTGGGGACCCACTGGCAGCTGCGACCCTGACAAGCCTTGGGGAGCTCACTGCGGGACCTGGCAGGCCGGGGGACCCTTAGGGAGGGCACTCGGGGACAAGGCTGACTTGGGAGCATCTGCACAGAGGGCTCCAAGCGGCTTGAGGCTTCTCAGCTGGGCGGGAGCCAGGGCACAGTGTCCCTCGGGCGACCTGAGCGGCGTGAGGTCACCCTGAGGCCACCCTGAGGCCACCAGAGCTGACCGGCTGCACTCAGCCCACGGAACCACAGTTCAGCTTTTGCTTCGGGGTCTCTGCTTCCAGCGCTGGCCAGCTGGCTCAGCGGGTTAGAGCGGCAGTCCCCGACCTTTTTGGCACCAGGGACCGGTTTCGTGGAAGAAAATGTTTCCCCAGACCGGGGTGGGGGTGGTCCACGGACGGGAGTTGGGGGAGACAGGCATGCCCACCGCTCACCTGCGGGTGTGCAGCCTGGTTCCTAAGGTGCCAGCCAGGGACCGACAGGGTCCGAAGCCTGGGGTGGGGGGGACCCCTGGGTTAGAGCATCGTCCCTCCCGGATTGGCTGGTCTGCAGGTTGAGCCCCGGCTCATACAAGAAGCAACCAATGAATGCGTTAGTAGGCGGAGGGGGCCTGGTGAGGACCCCGAAGGGCCCCTGGGCCGGTGGTCTGCGGGCTCTGCCCAGCCCTGCCCGCCAGGTGACCGGGGGCGGGGGAGGCAGGGTCCCTCACCACAGCTGCAGCAGCCCTCCCCGCCATCGGGGTCTCCACAGGGACCTGGGCCCTCTGTCAGCTTTGGGGGTGTTCCCCGTGCACCCTGCGGGGGGCTTCTCAAACTCCGCCAGACAAGGTCCGGTGCTGTTGACCCCAGGTCCCTGGGTTTTCACAGCTCTGGGCCCGGGGTCAAGTTCTTGCGCCCTATGACCCAAGACTTCTGGGTGCTGGCTCTAAATCCTGTGCACCCCAGACCAGGGTTCCAGGGAGCCGCCTCCCCAGCCCAGCCCTCTAGGCCCTGCCATGACTGGTCCAGGCCACAGCCGCTGCAGGGCCACCACAGCCACCCCTGGGTCCCAGAGGAGCCCAGATGTGTGGGTTCCAAAGTTCTTTCAGGCACCGGGGTTCTGCCCAGCTAACCTCTCTGGGCTCCAGCTCCCTCAAGGTGCTCAGCCTGGCTTTGAGTTCCCCCCCACCCCACTCCAGACTGCTGCTGGGTCCCGGCTCCCCTGGGCCCCAGCGCCCTGTGTGCGCTGAGCTGCAGCGTCTGGCAGTTAAACTTCCTGCAGCCCCCAAACACAGGGAAATGGGGAAGGGCCCTGCGGCTCTGGGGTCTCTGGGGACCGGGGGTGGGGGCGGGTCTGGGGAACTGGGACAAGTCTCCCCCACCACAGGCCTGCCACGAGCTCCCCTGTAGGCAGGCTGCCCGTGAGCAGCCTTGCAAGGGGCGGGGGGGGGGGGGGGGACGCCTGGCTAGGGGACGTGTGGACCCGGCGATGGCCTACCCTGCGCAGATCGATTGGTGGCCACCTGACCCAGCGCAGCCAATTAGATTCACTCTCTTGAGAACCTGAATTGAGACAGGCAACCCCTTCTGGGCTCCTAGAGCCCTGAGATCAGGGAAGGCCCATCTGAGTGGACAGAGCCCCGCCATCGTCGGGGAGCAGAAATGAGGGGACCCACAGAGGCACAGGGTCCGTGGAGAGGGCCCTCTAGAGCAATGGGGGGAGGGGGCAGCGGCGCTGTGCCTGCCCTGGGTCCCCCCTGGCCGGCTCCCACCTCCTGTCTCACCCCTCTGACCTGAGTCAGCCTGCACAGGTGTCTGGCCGCTCGTCCCTGGCCAGGCCCCAGGCAGACCTGCAACCCTGAACTTGCTCTACCCCCAGCGTGCCGGAGGCCGTCTGTCTGGGTCTGAAGTGGCCCAGCTGCCCTCCCAGCTCCTCCAGCCTCCACCGACCCGGGGAGGGCCAGGCCCCCCAGCCAGGCAGACGAGCCCCCCGCCAGCCCCGCCCCCACCTCTATCTCAGTCCCAGGGTGTCGCTTTGCCTCTCCCGCGACGAGATCTCTACCCCCGCGGGCCAACAGGGCGTCTGGGCAGAAGCCGGCCTCCAGACACGTTTTCTTTGGCTGATCACCGTGCTTCAAAAGAATTTGAATCGGTTGCCAACTCTGAAAAGTCAGATTTCACATAAAAATCCAGATTTCTGGCTTCTCTGCGCAAACCAGAGGAGCCTGGCAGCTGCAAGCCCATATTCGCGATGGCTCCAGTCTCCGAGCCGTGTCTGCTTTGGACTGGCACACACCCTACCACCCTCCGCACTCCCCACCACTCCCTATCGCCTCCCTCCTGCCCCCCAGCAGATGGAGCTGAGCGTCTGACGTTGGCCCAGCCCTCCCTGGCTCTGCCCCCTGCCTCATCCTTCAGGACACAGGCTACTGACGGCCTGCCCGCTCTCAAGGACCCGAGCGAAACACAGAGAGCTTCAGGAGGGCCTGTCCGTCTCATCGTATCCAGATGCCAGATGAATCTCTCCCTCCTTGATCCCCCTGCCCCGGAAAGGACCTTCAAACTGACCTAATCCTTTTGACCTGTCTTCCCCCGCGGGTCGCCCAGGGAACACCGCCACGGATCGATCGATCCCGTGGCTCTGCCTCCACTCACGCCTGCTGGGCCCTCCGCTTCCACACCCAGTCCCGTCTCACCATCCGACCCCTGCAGCGTCGCCCGACCCCAAGTGACCGGCACTGGCCACGGCGGCCACTGAGCTCGGGCCGCGAGGCTAGTCCGCCCTGAGGGTGCGGCATCCACCCTGGGTTTTCATCACCGAGGGCAGACAGGGGGAAGGGAAGGAGGTAAGCTCTCGCCGGTGACTGCTTACACCGATGGCGTGTTATAATAATGGTCACGTTTGGGACATGCTGCGTGAAGTCAAGGAGATTATTAAAATGAGTTTTCCCTGCTCGTTCAGATTTAGTTCTTTGGGGATGCGGCTACTAGAAAAATCTTAAACAGCACCATCCGCGTTGGCGGATGGGCGCGTCTACCTATCGGGCGACGCCGTTCCACGCGGAGGCGTGCCGGCTGAGCCACGTCACGGGCGGGGACACCGAGTCTCAGAGGGCGGGGCAACTGGCTCCTGGGGGATGAGGCGGGGCTTAAACCCGGGTCCCTGAGACTCCCGGTCCCTGCTCCCAACTATTGGGCCACACCGCCCCATGGTGCCCCCATGCTGCCTGGCACAGTTTGGTGCTTGGCACCCGTGAATGGGTCCCTCCGTTGTCACTTCAGTGGCCCCTTTCCCAGCTGGCCCCAGGCTGACACAAGTGCACGAGAAACCGGACTTGTTGGCCTTCCTCAGGTGCCCTCCTCACCTGTGAGCCCCCTCCAATGAACCCGTTAGACCCGA